CCCCAAAACCCCAAAACCCCAAAACCCCAAAACCCCAAAACCCCATCACGTCATCATTCAGAAAATGTCAAAATTTATAATTTTTTGATAGTAAACTTAATGCCAATTTACTATTCACTTGTGGCTAAGAGAAACAACATAATTTTATCTGAATTCACAGAATATGCTGGTAACTTTCAATAGTGCACAATGCAACTGATGAATCGTATCTAGCCAGATACAAAGATGACCTTTGAGTTAGAAGAATTTTTGTTTCACTATATAAATGAGGATGGACTAACAGTGATGTGCATGACTGATAAAGCTATATAGAAGAAAATAGCGTTTGCTTTCATGCAGGATGTAAAGAAATAGCTTTTAGTAAGCTATACTCTAAGAGAGCTCGAAAATGCTAGAGCTTACTAGCTAACAACATTTGCTGACAAACTAAGAGAAAAAACAGTAAGTACTAGAAAAAATTTTGATTAAATTAAAAAGACAGGTTCAGAAACTAATGTGAAATGAAGAATTATATGAGTTTAGAATTTTCTAATAATCTTCATTGGGAGAGATTTATCTTTTTGTAAGATACTAATCAGTGCTCCTCCTCTTTTTTATATACTTAAACCTTATCACAGATTAATAAGACTTTATAGATTTATTACAATGGGAATCCTATAGCAATTAATGATAAAACTGATGAGCTAGTCAAGGAACTACACGGCTTAAAAGATGCAATGGTAGAAAACCTAGACAAACTAATTGAAAGGGATGGTAAAATTGAAGTGATCTTACAAAAGGCAGAGAGTTTATCTACTTACTCTAAAACTTACAGATAAAGGGTAAAATTTGCTTATTTAAAAAGATATACAGGCTAATAAACTAAGAGTGCAGTAGAGGAATAGAAGATACTTTTACTTTTTTATTCTTATTCTCATCATAGCTGTAATTTTGATTGCGAATAATTATTGATATTTAGTTAATTGGATTTTTGATTGCTGTTATGGCTTGTGGAGGATTTACATTCGATTCATGCTGATAGAAACTAAATAAGCAACTTTCTAATGCGAGGATTCAATATTAAAGAGATGTCAATATAATGTGAATTATTGGTATATTAACTATTTCTAACACTCTTGAGTTATAAGTTTAGCGGGGTTTTGGGGTTTTGGGGTTTTGGGGTTTTGGGG